TCTTTTGATTCATTTTTTAGGCCTTCATTTCGTTTGAATTTTCTTCCTTGGTAAGGTCTCATTATTTTTCTGAACCGTTTGGCAAACAATGCTATTTCCTCATCATCGTCATCTTCATCCGAATCACTCTCATCTTTTGTGGATTTGAGAGCAACTCCAATGTTTTTCTTCTTCTCATTCTCCTTTGGTATCTCTTCAATCTTATCGAGGTCCACCTCATCTTCAAGCGTCATTTCATGAGTGAGGAGGGAACCGATTAGCTCTTCAAGAGATAAGGACTTTAGGTTCTTAGCCTCGATGATTGCCATCTTCTTGGATTGTCACGATTTTGGAAGTGAGTAAACTAACTTCCTCACAAGCTTCTCATTTGGAATGATCTCTCTATATGATTTGAGACCATTGACAATCGTTGAGAATCTATCCGTCATAGCTTTGATATCTTCATTTGGTTTCATCCTGAAATTTTCATAGCTATGTGTTAGAAGACTAATTTTAGATTCTTTTACCTCGTCGGTGCCTTCATGAATGACTTGTAGTTCATCACATATTTCTTTGGCAGTTGTACAAGATGAAACTCTTCCATATTCATCTGGTCCAAGGGCACAAAATATGATATGGATGGCTTTGAAGTTGAGCTGGAACATTCTTATCTCTCATTCACTCCACAATCTTGGATGAGTGAGAGGCTTGATATATCCGTCTTCTACAACATTCCATGCTCCCATGTCACTAGCTTGAATGAAATACATCATCTTATTCTTCCAATAGGCATAGTTAGCCCCATTGAAGAAGGAAGGCTTGTTGACGGGTATCGAATAGAGACCGGAGTCGACGTTTGAAGTGGAAGCCATTGATGACTTTGATTATCGATGTAACTCTTCCCGAATCGACTCAAGAGGCGATTAAACTTTCAAATGAGTTAGGCTCTGATACCAATTGTTGAGTTAATCGATCGACGAATATGGCCAAGAGGGGGGTGCATTGGCAAATAAAAATTTCGGTGGAAGCTATGCAGAAAATTGAAAGTAATTGCGCAGCGATTTAGAGTGGTTCGACTTTCTCAACCAAAGTCTACGTCCACTACCTTAGCTATCCACACTAAGGATTTTCCATAAATTCACTAATTTGTCTTTTTTTTAGGACAAAGAGTAACCTTACAAATCCCTCAAGAATTATACCTCAAATTCTTGAGAACACTCTCTCCCAAAGAGAAGATTACAAATTTGCAAACTTACAAGGAAATCCTCACAATGTAGATTGTTTGCACAATTCTAGAACAAAGAAAAGAACACTCAAGAATGAATACAATTGAGTACAAGTAGTGTTCTTGAAAGAAAAATAAATATTGAATGAAAAATAAGCTTGAAATGCTCAAACTTGAGGTTTGATGCTTTCTCTTTGATTCTCTCTTGATTCTAGTTGCTTGTTGTTTCTTCTTGTTAATCAATGGCTTCTAAGCTTGTTTAAATACACCTTCAAATGATTCTGAACTTTGGGGATAATTAGTGGAGTCAATAGAGCCGTTTAAGTGTGAAAACAATTAATTAAAGCAATTGGGAGCGTCAGTGCATCGATGCATACCCTAGGTGCATCGGTGCATTGATGCATAAAATGCATTCGATGTTTTGAAAAAACCTGAGTGCATCGATGCATGGTCTTGTGCATCGATGCATGGTCTTGTGCATCGATGCATCAAATGCACTAAGTGCATCGATGCATGGTATGTGCATCGATGCATAAAATGCATTCGATGTTTGAAAATTTAATTGGTGCATCGATGCATGGATTGGTGCATCGGTGCATCACTTTGAAAATTGATTTTAGGCTTGATTTTGATTCAAAATACTTTGTGAAAATTGTTTCAAAAATAGTTGAAGTATAAAACACAATTTTACACATTTAGTAAGGTTTGAAATGGATCTTGAAAGACTTGGAGTAATAATTTGATATTCGATTAATTAAATTGAATATACTTAGAAAATCATTTGTGAAATCTTAAAATTCATTTAATTTAATTTGTTATATCGAAACATCAAAATGTTTTCAACACGCTGGGGGAGCGATAGTTCACGCTGATTCTATAGGCTGATGTAGTAAGTGTGCCTTACCGGCCAATTTTCGTTATGTTTCCAACGTATATCGATTGCATGTAGCGCGTCTATATCAACCATTTGCGTTGTAGGAACGGCTAGTGTGACGAAAACTGTCGCATCACTCTATCAGCGGTGTGCCACTCAACAATTACTAGGTGCAACAAAGACGTCACGACACACCATAAGTAGGACCTCTCAAAAAATCACGCCGGTAATAATCGGTTGATCTCGTTGTCAACATACAGAAGTCAAGAGAACTGTAAATATTAAATATCAAAGTTAGTATATATAAAGTTAATATTCAAAAATAATAATAATTTCGTATGTCATACCGCATATTAACCGGCAATGTCGATCCTCATTCGTATGTCTAGTGCAGTGACACCCACCAACTTCGTCTCTGATATTTTATGATGTCATCTAAAATATTTAAAAATAAAAACAAATATTATAAAAAATAAAAATAATAAAATTATGAAATTTAAAAAAATGTTAAATAAATGAAGTTAAACAATTACCTTGCAGCCAATGAAAACTCAACTGGGTTGATGTAATCATTGTCAAAAATGGGAATCGATACCAAGCCCACGATTGTAGTAGTATAAGATAGCCTGCTACATCGGTTTTTTGACCCGGCTCGACAATTACAGCCTTGCAGAGCTCACAGTATAGAAAGGCTAGAATCGTCGAGCCCCAACTAGTATTACGGCACATAGCGAAGTCTTCCAAATATTGTAGATATTGAGTGTGCGCCAAATTACCAGATTTATCCGGTAATAATATCCCTCCTATCATTTGGAGAATAAATGCTCGGGATGCGAAAAAAACCTCTGCCTCGTTCGACTCGGCAGTCACTTCGAATTCAGGCTCCAACCAGGTTATCATTACCCGATAGCCCCTCATGACGTCTGATGGTGGCCATTTTCCCAAAACTTGGTGGACCAACGTCGTGAGATTGTACATGTTCTGCCTCACCACAGGGGCTCTATTCAAAGTAACACCGAATTGGTAAGCGACGTCTTCCAAAGTAATCGTCGCTTCACAACTCGAGAAATAAAATGTGTGTGTCTCGAGCCGTCAACGTTCGATCAGAGCCTCAACAACGCCAGGTACAGCTTGAAGCCATGTAAAAATATGGTCGTAAATAGATCAGATGTCGAGGTGACGAGTTCCACCTAATTTTTTTTAATTTAATAATTTTATTTTCATTTTAATTTTTTTAAAATAAAAATTATTTTTTAATAGAGTTATCACATCGACGTAATGACTCATTATAATACCAATAATATAATGACTCACGTGGAGCCTATTATGCGGGGACGTATTAGAAATAATATCTGATAGGTTCAGAGTGCACTGTAAAACGTATCGTATTCTCTAAAATAAACTTTGGGGAGGTCCCGTACCCTAAATAATTTACCCGCTTAGGGTACTGGGAAAAAAAACCGCATGAACCGATGGAATCCCCGGATGACATTGTAGCGTTACTGTGCGGTGAAGAAGTTTAGTAACGTAGGCTGATAACCATTCCTTGTTATATATATATATATATATTCCCTTAATTAAAATTCATTACAAATTAATATTCTAGAATTTTCAAATTTGGAATTAATCTTCTAGAATTTTCTAGTTTATATAATTTTATAATTAAATATTATTCTAAAGCATTTAATTAATACTCCAATTCTAAAATCATTATTTTTAATTATTTACTAATTAAATTTTACGTTAGTAAAAAATAGTATTGGTTAAAATGATCTTTCACTAAAAAATATTTTCTGAAACACGAAAGGAATCTGATCCACTACGTGATTATCTGTACATTTCTAGCAATCCATACTTTATATAGCATTACATGGCCTGTATATTTATTTAATATTGTTGACGAAGGTGAGAAGGGTTTGAGAGTCAGAAAAGAGCAAATGAATAAAAAAGAAATAAAAGAAATATATATAATTTTATTTTTCAAATTGAATATAATATATTTTTAGAGTTTTCTAAAATATAGTTAAAATTTTTATTAAAGGACTAAATTAATATTTTTACTATAATTTAAGAGTCAAATTAGATATTAATTCATTTTTAGTTAACTTAATGTAAACTATGTGATAAAGGATAACGTTAGATGTTATTTTAAAGATAAACTATATCTCTATTGATTATTATGTTAATTTTCAAACTCTAATGATAAAAGAAATTTACTCAAATTAATAAAAAAATAGAGAATTTTACTCAAACATTAATGATTATAAGCATAATATTTTACTCAAACATGAATGATCATAAGCATAGTTTATTATTAGTGACAAATTCAAAAAATATTTAAATATATAAATATTAATAATATGAACTTTTTATATTGAACATAAATAAATAAAATTTCACTATAGGTAAAAATAATTAATAAAATAAATAAATAAATAAAATTAAAATATTAAGATGTACACGTATTCGAAGACTAGTTATCCTTTATCAAAAAGATAAGATTAAATTAAATAAAGGGTAAATTTATGTTTATATTTAAACTATCAGTTTTTAGTTCGTTTTAGCACCGAAACTTTCAATTTTTTTAAAATCATACATAAATTTTATTAAAAACTCAATTTTTGTTTATTTTAGTACACCGTTCAAAATTTAACGTTAAAGTTTTAATTTTTTTTGAAAGTTTAGATACTAAAATGGATCAAAACTGATAGTTTAAGTACTAAACACGCTAAGTTTTTAATGATAGTGTATTAAAATGAAACAAAAACTAAACTTTAGATATAATTTGAAAACAATTGAAAGTTTAGATACTAAACAGATTAAAGCTAATAGTTTAGGTACTAAATACGTAGTTGACCCTTAAATAAAATTACATATTTTAAATCCGAACAGGTTCATCTCTCCGGTACAAAAATACTTCATCCCAAAATTGAACACTATTTCTCTACGTCTCAACTTCATTACCAAAGCGACTGTCAGACGCAAGAGAAACAACTTCCAGCCATGAAGATAATGGTAGCCGTCAAGCGAGTCGTGGATTACGCCGTCAAGATCAGAGTCAGACCCGATAAGGTAAGAAAACCAATGAAAACCCAATGCTTTAAATCTTCAATCGATTCACCACAACTACAAAAAAGGGTCAATTTTCTTTTTGTATTTTGGTAGAATGGGGTTGAAACCCAGAATGTGAAGATGTCAATGAATCCTTTTTGCGAGATAGCTTTAGAGGAGGCTTTGAAAATTAAGGAATCTGGGTTTGCTAAGGAGGTCGTTGCGGTTTCAATGGGACCTTCGAACTGCGTCGATACGCTTCGGACGGGTCTGGCTATGGGTGCCGATAGAGCGATCCATGTTGAAGCTTCGAGGGATTTGGTTCCTCTAACGGTTGCAAAACTTTTGAAGAAGCTTGTTGAGGTTGAGAATCCTGGGTTGCTCATTCTTGGAAAGCAGGTATGGTTTTCATCTTAGATTTCACTATTTTAGGCTGCTTTTTGCTTGAAGATTCTTAAATGTTTGGTATTTGTGAGTAATTTAATGGTGTTGGTTACTTGGGATTGTTTTATATTTGAGGGAAAGCTTGTTTTGTCCATGGTTGTTATTGTTTTTAATGATCCTTTTTGCTTATGGATTCTGAAATGTTTGGTCTTGTGCTCAATTTAAAGGCCATGTTACTTGGATTCATGTTTGAGAGTTAGATATAGATATGTATCCAGTACGAGTATGCTTACTTTTTTTAGTGATTTTCAACATGTTTTCAAGTGTATCTCTGGCTTCATTCTTCTTCTTTAACTACCTCTTTGTGTAGTGGAACTTAAAATCATGATTCTTATTATCCTGATTCCTGTGTAGGCAATTGATGATGACTGTAATCAGACAGGGCAAATGATAGCCGGGTTGCTTGGATGGCCTCAAGGAACATTTGCTTCAAAGGTCAGTTAATCGTCAACTTATTTGAGAAATACTCTTCTATTGCTTCAATGCTTCTCATCTCTTCTTTTGATTTATAACATTCGTTTCCATTGCTCAAATAGAATCATAACTAGTGTTCTTGTTGTTAGATATAAAACCATATTTTGTTTAATTAGCAGGTAAAACTCGTGTCTGATTCTTCTTCATTTTTTCTTGAAGTACCTATGTATAACACATATCCTGATATGGGATTGATCATCCAAGTACATGGAAAATTTTGAAAAATATTTAATATAACCTGTGTTGGACATACACCCGTATCCATACTCACACTCAGTCAAATAGCATAAGCTAGTTTTGACCAAATGTCAACGGAGGAAGTTTTGAGATTGATTGTTAGTTGTGTTAGAATTCAATGTGAAACTGCTGTAAAATAAAGTATTGATTAAATTTGGATGATATCCATGCAAGTATCTCTAATTTTGTTGCAGTTTGTGTGCTTTTTACCTTTTGTATCTATGTTGCTTGGGCTCAGGTGTGGTTGTTAGACACATCATGTTCGTTTTTTTCTAAGATTTCCAGGTATTTGGAGGTGATCTTGGAGGATCATAATATGGTTATTTCAAATAAATGAATGTACAAAGAGTTGGAGCAACATAGTTATCTAATATCTATGGTAGTATGCCCAATGTGTCTGTCATCCTGATTGCTGCATTTTAGTAGGTTGTGTTGGACAAGGAGAAACATACGGCATCCGTCGATAGAGAGGTGGATGGTGGTCTTGAAACGCTTTGTTTAGACTTACCTGCTGTGATCACGTAAGTTCCTAATCTAGTCAACTTTCCGTGTTCATTATAAGTAATCACTAATCTTTAGTCTGTTATTTGTGTTTGACACATTAAAGCTACCCTGGTGATGGAATGAATATTGAAAATGTGCCATCTAAAAGTTGCATCTGATGGAAAATCATTGTTTATACTAAAATTTGATAATTAGTGAAAGTAAGCATCCTAAGTGTCTGCTTCTATAGTGCTGTGAAATACAAATTGGTGTTACTATCTACTCAAGCTTTGGGATACGGGTAGTATATGTTCAACACATGGGTTGGTGAATGCCTTCTTTGTTGAGGGTCTCTGCTAAGTTTGTCAATATGCACTTTCTGTCATATGCAGCACTGATTTAAGATTGAACCAGCCAAGGTATGCAACGCTTCCCAACATAATGAAGGCCAAATCAAAGCCGATAAAGAAGTATACTCCCGAAGAGTTGAACGTCGAAATCAAATCTGATTTCGAGGTTGTTCAAGTCACTGAACCGCCCAAGAGGAAAGCCGGAGTCATCCTCTCGTCTGTTGATGAACTGATCGACAAGCTTAAGAATGAAGCCCATGTAATTTGAACATTACCTCACCTCTTAGGCAAATGGTCTAAAGCTGATAAACAACTTTTCCAGTTAATGATTTTCAAAAGTTTACAGAAAAGGAAGTCTAAACTTCCTGATGAATAAAGATTACTTTTTATGGAGTTCTGCAAAAACCAAGCAAAATAGAAACTGGTTTGAACTTTAATGTTCAATTTGCTCTAAACCCTAAAAAAACTGTGGTGATTACATATATATATTCATAACTTAACCAATTGGTAATGCGCATACATCTTGCAAACACATCTGTTTGAACCTATGACTTTTAAGGAGAATAGCATTCCTTGTAATCATTAAGGTCACATAATATATTCGATTTTAGTATGAATTCATACCAAGGGTTTAGAAAATGACTAATGAAAAATGTTTCATTAAATAAAACTAATGAATCCATACCAAGGAGAATAGCATTCCTTGTAATCGTTAAGGTCACATAATATATTCGATTTGTTTCATGAAAAATAATTTGATCAATCGAAAATAACGTATAAATTAATGAAAAATAAAACTATTTTCTTAGAAATTGTATTATGAAATTTAAAACCATAAAATAATTTTTGAAAAGTATTAATACAATTGATTTAGATGTATTATAATTATAGCAAGTTTAATTCTTTTAATACAATTTATTATTTTCATAAAAATTATTTAGTATTATAATATTATTTATTTTATTTTTAAAAAAATTTACTCCCCTGTTCCATTAAATATATTTTTTACTTATTTTTTTAAAGTAAAAATTTTTAAACTTTTATCATAATTATTTAAATATTTTAAAAAATTAAATTTTATAAAATATATCTTTCAAAACTACTTGATTGAGGGTTTTAAAATATATTTTTGATATTTTTATCAATAATAAATTTAAATAATAATGAGTGAAATTTAAAAAAAAAATTCAGTATGGGACAATTTAAGTGGGACGGGGAATATTATTCAATAACAAATATGATTTGTTATAGTTTAATTTTTAAAAATTGAAAAATAGTAATTATTATATTAGCATAAATAATATTAAATAATTATATATATTATTTTTAAGAATATCTTTAAAATTTTCATAATGAGTAATATTATTTTATATATTTAATATTACTAGTATAATATTCTAATATTAATAATTAAAATTTTAAAAAATGTATTTATTTATTAATATAATATAATATATAACATTTTATTTTAATATAATAATTTTTAATATTATTAAGTATACTCGATTATATTAATATAATACTATAACATTTTTATATTATAATAAATTATCAATATAATCAATACTAATTATTTGATGAAAATTTTAAAAAAATGTTATCCAATAATAAATACAATTTATAATATTACGATTTCAAAAAAATTAAAAATATCAGTTTTATAATTCTTATATTGACATAATATTCTAGTTATGATAATATTTTAAAAATAATATTATTGAAGTTTAATAATGAGTAATACTTTTAGTCACCCACCGTTCGAAAATTAACAGTAACGCTAACGCTTCACCGTAAGATAATTGAATAATTTCACCTGCAAACTAACCTAATAAGTGTATTTCCTTGGAAGTTCTGTTGTGAGGCGGTTAAAATACGGCTAAAAAATGACGTGACTAGTTAAACAAGTGACCGGTTAAAATTGATACCAGAAATATTATATGATTTAACCGGAAATATTATTTGAGTTGGTAATAAAAACGATAATAACCGGTTATGTTATTGTTCTATGTAAAATGCGCCAAAAAAATATAGACGATAACATAACCGGTAATTACTGGAAATATTATCTAACATAACATATTAGGTAGCGCTTATATAACGTAATAGATAGCGCCTTTTTAAAGATGATGGGGCTTTGGAAATCCGACGAAAACATAATCGGTTAATTACTGAAAACATTATCAAGCATAATAACATATTAGGTAGCGCTTATATAACGTAATAGGTAGCGCCTTTTTAAAGCTAATGGGGCTTTAGAAATCCGACGATAACATAATAGGTTAATTACTTAATTTGTTATTAGTATTATCAACATATTAGGTAACGCTTATAATAATTAGTTTTGATGTTTTAAGGATCGATACTTCTCATACATGTATCGATACTTTATACGTGCATCTCGTTTGGGATTCATACTGGACAAAATGTAATGATACTACTGAAACAAGTATCGATACTTTATGTTTACTTATTCTCTCATTAAACCGGTAAAAATATACTGCTTAGATTGTGAATTTACCGATTACCTTCAAATAATCGGTTTCGATATTTTAAGAATCGATATTTCTCATACATGTATAGATACATTCTTTTTACTAACTTAAGTTTGGGAATCATAATGGACATAAAGTATCGATACATATAAAAAAAGTATCGATACGTTATGTTAACATATTTTATCATAAATCGGTATCTTTTGACCGCTAACATTGTAAATTTATCTATTACTTTAATTTAATCGGTTTCAAACTTTTAAGAATCAATACTTTTCATACTTGTATCGAAACTTTCTTTCTACTTCTAGTTTGGGAAGCATACTGGACAAAAAGGATCGAAACTTTATGTTTACTCATTTTATCATTAAAAAAGTCTATTTTTACCACTTACATTGTAAATTTACCTATTACTTTAAAGTAATAAATGTTGAATTTAGTAGTTATTAATTGTGCATACCTAAATATGTCCTAAGAAATTAATGTTGTACTCACCCTTCAACTACCACATCTTAATATAATTGAAAGCACCACTGAAGTATGTTGTTGTATGAACCTTTACTTACTTACTTCTCAATCAACTCCTGTTGGGACCACTGAACTTACACAAACAAATTTTTGTCGATCTTTTGAACTATTAATTATGGATCATACTGCATCATACAATCTTAAGACAACCGAGGAATTCCATGAAGTAATTATTTTTGATGAATCTGACAGATTGGTTGGTCAGCTCTTCTCTTCACGTGAGGAAACTTGGAACTTTTACAAGAGATTCGCACGCAAACATGGTTTTAGTGCACGTCGGGGAACAACATTGCTTAATAGGGAAAAGAATGTGAAGATAAAAGAATTTTGTTGTTCAAAAGAATGGTTTCGAGTATACAAAGTCAATATTGTTGATCATCAACGTGCTCATATGCCAGTCACAAGAATCAGATGCAAGGCTAAAGTCGTAACTACAACAACAAATATAAACGATCAGTGGGTTCTAAGTAAGTATTCTCAGGAACATAATCATGCATTGTGCACACCTGCTATGACACCATTTATGCATTCAAATAGATCTATGAGTAAGGCTGATGTGGATGAGACAACAACATTGAAAGATGTCGGTGTTGGCACATCACAAGTAATGAATTATTTAACGAAGCAGACAGAGGGTTATCATAATGTTAGATTTACACATAAAGACCTCTACAATGCACTTCAAAGAGGTAAAATAAAGAAATCTTCAATGGGGATGTCAATGCACTTATTACTTACTTTGATTATAAGAAACATGATGATCCCGAGTTTTCTATGACATACTTGGTAGACGAATCAGGGGCATTGCATAATCTTATTTGGATTGATTCTACATCGAGATCAGATTACACGCTTTGGTGATGTAATTGCGTTCGACACAACGTACAAAGATAATTTGTATGGTCGGCCAATTATGCCTATTTTCGGTGTCAATCATCACCATAACACAATAGTGTTTGCTACTGCCATAATCGCTGACGAAACATCCCAATCTTTTGAGTGGGTGCTAAAGAATTTTTTAGAAGCCATAATGAATAAATTACCTATTTCAGTTATCACCGATGGGGATAGGGAAAAGTAGATGGCTATCAAATCTATTATCTCATTTACTAAGCACAGATTATGTTCTTAACATCTTTCTCGCAATGCACAAGCTAACATTGGTGACCCGAAATTTACAACAGCATTCTCAAAATGCATGGTTTCCTGGTGGACAACCAAGGAATTTAATACTCAATGGTGTTCAATTGTTTCGGAATTCATGTTGAAAAGTATCCATGGGTGATTGAGAAGGGCAATACTCTGCACTTATGGGCATAAACATATCTAACCGGTCATTTCTTTGCCAATATTCGCTCAACACAACGGTGTGAGTCTATGAATGCTTCACTCACGATTGCACTGAAAAACAAGAAGACATATTTAGATGTTATTCGTGCATTTGAAGAAAGAATTAGTAGAATGCGTATCAACGAGTTGAAAGCGGATTACTTAAGTTCCCAGACGAAGCCATTCCAGATCACAAAACTGATTGACCTTGAAAGCCATGCTGCTGAGATTACAAAATGACCATGTTATAACTTTTGAAAGTTCAATTTCCAAAATGATCATTTGAGCATAGCTTACAAATCTCTCATGTAGTTTATCAAAAAAAAAGTCTAATGTTAAATGTTTGGGTAAACTACACCTTTGACCACTTAATTATTGAGGAATTCCAATTTGACCATTAACCTTTTAATTTTGGGTAAACTATATCAAAGAACACCCAACTATAACCCCTTTTCATTTCGACCACCATTGTTGAATTATTATCAATCAGACCACACAACTATTTAATGCATTCAATCAGGCCACTAGTCGTTAATAGTTAACGGAAGTGCTGATTTGGCAGTTAATAAAATTGATATAATTTACATTTAGTCCTTATTACTTACACAATATGTCAAAGTGGTCATAGTTTTAAATTAATTCAATATATTTAATCCTCCATTTATATGATGACACGTGTCACGATATAATTGGAGGGCTTTTATGGAAAGAAAGCAAATTGAAACAAAATTGTGTTGTGTTGGGGGTGGGGGAACCGAAACTCTGTCCCCTCTAATGATAAAGAACCACCTCAACCACTAGCCTAATGCTATTTTCTGGTATAATGTTTACTTAACTAATATTTATCTTATAATATAATGAAGGTTGGAACAATAAAAATAGAAGCAACACTAAAACGAACCAAGTTGGGGCAAACAATATATTTTAAAATATATTATTTTTTGGGTGTTTTGAATATAATAAATATAAATAATTTGACCATTTAAAATATAATAAAAATA